CTCAGAAGCTAAGCAGGGTCAGCCCTGGTTAATATTTGGATGGGAGACCACCAAGGAATACCAGGGTAGTGATGCAGAGGTGGGCAATGGCAAATCACCTCTGAATTTCTCTTGCCTGGAAAGCCTTATGGGGTCACCATGTCAGCTGTGACTTGATGGCAACACCACCACCACCACCACCACCACCACCACCCTTACATTTAAAAAGCTAGAACAAGGTTTGAAGAAGTGTGCCTGCACATGAAAGCTGATACCCACAATTAAACTTTGTTGGTCTTAAAGGTGCCACTGGACTCAGACTTTGTTCTGTTGTTTCAGACCAACACCCTCCTGAATTTCAAAAGATAGCCAGTGTGGTGCAATGGTTAGAGCAATGGATGACAAACTTGGATCTCCCAAGCTCAAATCCCCTCTCCTGGTGACTGACAGCAGGAACACACACGAAGCTTTGGATCTCCCAAGCTCAAATCCCCTCTCAGGAACACACACAAAGCTGCCTCATACTGAATCAGACCACTGGTCCCATCAAGGTCATTATTGTCAACACCCACTGGTCCCATCAAGGTCATTATTGTCTACACCAGGGGTGTCAAACTTTAGGCCTGGGGGCCGGAAACAGCCTGTGCAGGGCTCTTATGTGGCCCGCGAGCAACTGATGCAAGGGAGGGAGTGGGCAGAGCCCACTACACTACACTACACTGTAGCTTCAGCACAGCAGAACAACCTCGTCTGCAGCAGTGAAACAGTGTGGGAGCATCTGCCCAGCCCATGGGGCCTGGCAGTGAGTATACACCAACTTGGAGCTCACCAGCTGTTGTCCTTCATATCTCTGGCACCTGGCATTACGTTTTATGGCACACATGGCCTGGCCTGGACAAAGTGACATTTGTGTCCGATCCGGCCCTTGTAACAAATGAGTTTGACACCTCTGGTCTACACAGATTGGCAGCAGCTCACCGGAATCTCAGGCGAAGGTCTGGTCCTTTTTCTCTGAAGTTGCCGGGGATTTAACCTGGGATCTTCTACATGCAAATTTGGCAGAGGCTCTTCTCTGTGGGGCTAGCTGGTTGATCTTGGGTCATTCACAACACTCTCTGAGCCTCACCTACCCCATGGAGTTGTTCTTGATAAAATGGAAGGAGGTAGAAGCATGTGTGCTGACCTGAGCTCCTCGGGGGAGAGGGTGGGATAATTTTTGGGGGAAACGTGGTCGTTTACGGCACAGTGTAAAAAACCCCAAGAAATTATAGCCGTCAGACAAAACTTGACTAAC